AAATTGCAAATTCCTCGCACATGTAACATCTCCATTGGGCCAAAATGCACCGATATCAATACCTCATATGTTACTTGGTTCCTCGAAAATTCTCCTCTTGGACTTAGCCTAAAAGTGTGGACACTTTTTAGCCTCCGGCGAAACCTAGAGTCTATACGGCTTCGCCGCACGACTAAAAAGAACAAAGCATTTGAGGACAGGCCCGATGTAAATAAGGAAAAAACGTAGCGCGTGTCCATCTTCGTATCTGTACCTGCCGACTCAGGGGCTATCTCCCTCCCGCACTCGCCCAGTAGACGTTCAGACTTTCCTATTCTTATGCTCCTCAAGAATCTGATTTGGATGGTCGAGCAAAACGGCGTACGGAATCTGAGATAAGACTGCCGCTCCGTGCGGGAGTCCCCATGATTTCCTTGTTGACACACAGCCGTTTATCAATCGAGCACTGGAATGAGGAATCTTTCTAGCTTTTTATCACCGAATAATTGAATCTCCTCTTTGATTTTTAGCGAAAACGGTGCATCGTAGAAAGTTGGCGCAATTATAACTTTTGATCAGCTTTTTGAGGAGAATCAAAATACATAAGTCAGAAGGCAATCGGTCGTGGTGCAGCTTCCCATAAGAGGTGTGCGGGGTCCTTTGATGGGTCTCAAATTTTGGCTATGACCAGCCAGACTGCCAGATCCTTGCTACACCTGAGTGCCCCGATCTAAGAATGTATGTGAAAATTCTCATACTCTCCGGTTAGATAATTCGGTGTCGGCTCTTGGACTAAAATGACTCAGTTTAACTACTATTATGTCGTCCCAAAAAGAAGTGGTAGCACACCTAGGAAATACTTTACTCTTCTAAGCATTGCAGAATTTCTACTTCTAGTCTGAGGAAAGTAGAGCTTAATGTTAATGTATACTTTGCCGAAATACAACATAAGAAATTAACCAAAATTTCTTTAGTAATGGGCCATTCAAAGATGTAACTTCCTGGAGTTGCTGTCAATGGCAACAGTGTAGGCGCTTGCATTTAAATTATTCACCTTCAAACTTATATGTTTCCTAGAAAACTATTTCAAATTATGTGTATTTAACCACCTAGCATACCCTCGAGTTGGATTTTTTAGGCCCTAAACCGTCCGATGGCAATTGAAAAAAGTATATCAACCAAAGGTATAGATCCTAAGCTTGAAGTAAAAAAAAAAATCGAAAATCGGAGCGACTGTTTTTAAGATAATTCAGTTTGAACATTGAATGGCAAAAAAATCGTAAATTTTAAAAAACTCTAAATTTTGGCCGTTTAAATAATTTTTAGCACAATTTCGATGGCATATTCAGAATCTACATGAAAAATTAGTCCAGAAACACTCTTTCAAAGTATGATGGATTGATACAGAGTCTTGCTATGGAGAGTCTTAGAGAGGGAAGTCGAGAAAATGAGAATCGCTAAAACGGGCATTTTTGAATATCGCTAAAATTCTCCCCATCTTTGGGGGGTCGATGTCTCCCAAACGGGGCGTCGGATGGGAAAACCCTTAAATCAGTTTCTTAGAATGATGTAAAAACCCCGTATACCAATTTTCAGCCAAATCGGAGGGGGTTGGGTTCCGAGCTTGGTTGCGTTGACATGGAATGACCCTACTAGAGTCCCTTTATACTGAGAGTCAAGACAATTCGGCTCATGGATGTCACAAACGGGAATAAAGATTACAGAAATTGAACGTTTTCCGTAATCTTTGATCGGCCCATTCTCAAATGCCTTTCTCCGTTCCTCCTCTCATTCCGTTTGTTCCTTGCCGAACCCGTAATTCCCTGGTCCATTTCAGATTATAATCTTTGCAATTGGTGAAAATGTAATCTTTATTCCCGTTTGTGACACTGTGGAGGCCTAAAATACGGGAACCAATCAGAAATGGATTCAAATTGTCTTGACTCTCAGTATAAAGGGACTCTAGACCCTACTACCCTTTCAAGCAATTTAAACAAATGAGGGATAGATAAAGTGTCATTACTACATAAAAACAAAGCGTATTGAGCTGAGAATCAATATTACATGCTTCCTGAATACATGTTAACTCACACAAAGTATTTAAGATTTCAAACTTTTCTCAATTGTTTAAAAGAAAAAAATCTAAAATTTTAGTTTTTGTCATTTTAGGGTCCACATACCTCTTGATTCAGTCTGAGAGTGGTTACAATTCCCTTGAAGGTACAGCAATTTTAGTACTTGGCAAAAATATAGAGCTGGAAAAAAGTGTTAAGCCAGTGTTGTTTCACATCTGTAGGTCAAACATAATTCGAGATACACTCGTTTTCGTGAAGATCGATTTTGTCCAAATTGTGTTTAAAGGCTAACCTTTAAAAGCTGCCACGAATACGTGAGTGGTCAAAAATATTTGGAAAAATGGTTTTAGAGCTCTTAACGTACAGAAAAACAAATAACCAATAAATAAAAAAATCTAGGTGTATCCTTCTGGCATATGAACAAGAGAAAATGGGACATCAAAATGCAAAAATATCACACCATTTTTAAGGTGGCAGCCTTCAAAATGATGGTAATTGCATCATCTTGAAAATAATGCGATAATTCTGCAATCTGAAGTCAGATTTGTTCATTTTGTGCTAAAATAGCTCCGGCAACCAACTTGCAATCAAATCGGGGGGATTCGCAACCAAGACAGCAATTTCCCGCTATTTAGAACTGAACCGGCTACCACTCAGAAACGGTGATTATGGAGGGTAACCTGCAACTACAGCGAAAAATCGTCTTCTGTATCATTTTTCTGATGAGGTATCACACTAAAGTGGTGCTTATGGAAAATTCGAAAGTTGCCTCCAGACCCCTGGGAGAGGGAGGGGAGGCGAAGAGGAGGGGGGGTCATGAGCCTCAGAAAATGTACCTGCTTTTGCTCGTGGAAAATTCGCCCAAACCGCAAGTCAATATCTGCAGTCATTCTCGAGACATGTAAAATTATCCTTATTTTGTGCACACCCTGTGTAGGGGCTATTAAAAAATGTACAGAAATAAACCAAAAAGAGGTGAAATAATCACCGCTTTTAGTATGTGTAAGGGTCATCCTAAGAATGAAAAAAAAAACCTCAAACGGACTCCAAATTTTGTGGGCCCAAAAACGAGTGGATTTGTGCACGGCTCTTTTGTTACAATGGTAAAATGGGTGCCCATTGCCTGTCTGTACCAAACTTACATAAAATTATAAAAAATGTTGTATAGGAGGAGGCTTGGTCAAGTAATTTTATTTATTGATTTATTATAATCACAGACAGAATTGTACGTTGAAGCGCGCTGTATACATTTACAGTTTTTCTTATAAGAAATTTTGAGAAGATTTATTTTCAAAATCTTCTTGAGGATGATGATGACTCAGTGTGTAAAATGCGTTTCTCAATTGCGATGTTTTAAGATCTCTAATCATTTCTTTACTTCCTCAAGAGTATCTATTCAAAATGTTTACTTGCAATGATAATTTCTTTTTTAAAAAAGAAAATTAACCAATGAGGTTTGATTGAAATTGTTGGTTGGTTCCCCTTTAAAAATAAAGAACATGAGCAGAGAGTTGCAATGTCGCAATCTGAGATTCATATCTTTTTACTTAGGCATCGATGTGCTCTGCATAATGTCTGTGGGTTTTCTGTAAAACATTACATTTAATAAGCAGGAATTTTCCACACAAATGGCTCACATAAGATCTCTTTGCGTAAAATTCTCTCTTTGCTTTATTCTGTTGATTCATTTTTAAAAAGCCAACATTGCGTTGAAAAGTTTTTCAAAATTTATTTGATTTGTCTATGTTTTCATGGAGATTGTACATCCCCAGAACCGTTACGGATTTCATGCGTCTAGAAAGTAATTCCAATTCAGAAAGAAATTACTTTTGAATTAAATTATTCAATTATCTTATTCCACTTATAGGACGGAATGAATAATCAAGTGACGGGGAGATCCAGGGGGCAAAGCTCCCAACTAGACACAAGGCGAGCCAGAGCGGCTAGTCTTAAGATGATCATAGAAATCTAAAAATATATTCTCTAGGATGAATAAATGATGAATAATCATTAATCATTGATAAAAAGGCAACAGCGCAAGACACCCTTTAAAGGGCAAAGTATTGACTAAATAGATTGGTACATTGATCACTTACATTTCAAACTGTTAAAACTATTTCTATCACTCTCTGCGCTCATGGAGAATTTGTGTAAGAGCAACGTGCTGTCCTGCTGCCATTGCAGCTAACTGTGCAGCATTAGGGGCAACTCCAGGAGGAGTGGGAGGGATTACCGGTTGTCCTATACCATCAAACCTTGCACCTGGGTCATATCCATTCTGTAAAAAAAAGAAAACTGTCAGTTACAGATGGCTAAAGTTGCAGCAAAGTGTAACCTGTGAAACAAAAAAATTACCCTCGTGGATTTTAGCTAAGGTGTCATGTCTAGAGCAGAAGCCTGCTACATTTTCCTGACCTGCTCCTATTGCTACCTTTTGCTTGAGATACACAAAATGTATGACATCACTTCCCGTCTAAGATTTTCTTTCCTGCAGGCTGATTATTTACTTTCGTTGATCCCGGCTATAGATCTGCAAATCTCATCTTTAGCGCATCTATGATCAAACTATTTGTGATTCTACACTGTGATTCTATCCGATGGATGAGCGATAGATCAGCAGAGTTGGAAAACAGTGTTGAAGGATTGCTTTGAGATGAAAATAATCGTTCTAACCAATCAAACACCTGGATTCACCGAGTGAAGAAGAAGAAGGGCGTAGGAAACCTAACCTCCAAAAAAATCATTTATTGTGTTTTACTCAACTTCGCCTTATCAGCTGCCGTGGCGCAGTAGACAGCGGCGTCGATATTCAGTCGCTACGGATCCGAGCGATGGTGGGTTCGAATCCCGACGCGGCACTACCAGTCACCCAATCAGAAGCAGTTTTAATAGATGTCACCGTATCTACAGCCTTAGGGCCGGGAGATCCGCATCTATCAGTGGATCTATTGAAATTAGTTCTGAATCGCTCAGAATCTTTGCCTCATAGATACGCAGGCCGCATCTATCAAGGTCAATAATAGATGAGGGAAGTAAATAATCAGCCTGCTGTGTGAACTACGTCAGATCTACGCAGCATGCAGGGATTTTATTGGATGGGAGACTTAGGACGCTAGGAAGGGAAAACCGAAGAAATGCCTAACTAGTGAAAAAATCAGTAGAGTGCTATTGTGTTGCTGAAGGGTCCCTTGCTTCTGTCAAACGACGAGCAGAGCAATGTTTCGCCAAGTACTGCGGCTCCACGAGAGGATTCACGTGCAAGTCCTTAATTTTTTGAGTTTCGGTTGTCAGTTTGTCGGAGTTTCTCCTTCATTTTCGTGTAGCTATATTACACCAGTATACCACAAATTGTTTGTTGTTTAATCCAATTTCATGCCTATCATTTGAGCTATCTGTGGTTCTTAAATGCTGATTGGTGGAGCAGTGTCCTCTGGCTTCATTTTGTTTCACGCCCTTCCATGTAACCCTTTTAACTGGGATAAGCATGCCAAGATACCCTAGTAAGGATTTCTATGATACCATTATAAATCATTGTGGGTGTCCTAAAACTGAGATAAAGGGGAATTTAAGCCCCCCAAACTTCACCTTATATTGTATCAGCTAAGAAAATTGCCTTTCAGGCCCTCTATCAAGGAAAAAGCACACTCAGTATCTGCTTTAATATTACCTGTCTTTGATTATACTCTGCCAGTATACTGTGATATTACTGCTGAGCAGCTGAAAGAGTTACAGACAGTCCAGAATTTCTGTATGAACTGCATTTTTAACTTATCCCGATTCAACCATGGTACGCCTTACTTTAAAAAGTTAAAATGGCTGAAGTTGGCTGAGAGACTAGAGCTCATGACTGTTAAAACTGCGAAGAAAATTGTGTGTACTAATCAGCCTGCGGAACTGACAGCTTGAACATGCAGGTGGGTCAAAGCAGGTCGACTGCCCCTCGTAGTGTTCAATACCAGGTTCCTCCTGCTATCTTTAATAAATCCTTTTAAGTTTCTTTGATTAGGATCTTTTGTTGTTTGCCCATATCATGTAGAGAAGAGTATAATTTAAATATTTTTAGAAGAGATGTAAAATTATTTATGTTAAGTCGATATGATGATTAATTCATTCAGTTTATATATTTACTTTCTTACCTACATACATTTACATTCATTTTTTATGATTATCTTCTGTCGGTTCATGGGTCTTTTCTATATTTTCCTTAAAGTTGTCAAAGTATGTTCAGCCCTAGAAGTTCATGTCTTTCTGTGTTTTATGCAGTTTTTCTTTGTTTTTGCAATTATTGTCGGGTGTGGTTTGTAGGCCTGTCCCCGAACCGATCGATCGATCGATCGATTATTTCGATGATCGTTCGAAGACCTGTTTCGATCGAAACTGCTCGATCGAACTGCTCGATCGAACTGCTCGATCGAAATGTTCGATCGAAATGCTCGATCGAAGTGCTCGATCGGAATGCCCGATCGGAACGTTTGTTTTGAAAGCCGTTTCGATCGAAATGTTATTTTGTAATGTTGAAATAAGATTTACCATGTTTAGCAAATAATTGCAGAATTTTCATATTGTTGTCAAGAATTCCTCTTCCTCTAATTTTTTTCTTCGTTTCG